TAATAATCAAAAAATTCTTCATTTTTTTCTTTGGTCAAAATCTAAAACTATAATTTTTCAAAAAAAAAACAAATAATATTTTGACTGTTTTTTTTTGCATCATTGCAATAACATATGCAAATCGTTATGAAAGACATTTTACATATACTGTGTCTTTTTTTTTTCATTGTATACAGTCCCATAGAATGGAGAGAAAAAGAAAAACGAAGTAAATATCAAAATGTATATGATGTATTTCAACCAATGTGCGCTGTTTTTGTTTTTGCCTTTCACCAAACAGTAATACTAACCATTGTATATTTTTTTATGCTTACTGCTTATTGTTGATGAGCTGGAAATCAAATTAGTTTCACTATGCTTAATTTCTCTATTACCTTTTTGATATAAATATATATAATCATTCTTTGTATGACAGAGGTTATACTCGAATTTTTTATTCTCGTCCTCGTCTTATTCATTGTACACAGCTACACATGTCAGGAGAAAAAGATTCCCTACTCCTTGCTTTCGATCGACCTCCACATTTTTTTTTCCTCTTTCTGCTCCTATACTTTTTTCTTTCTGTACATAGGCAGAATAAGAATATTATTCACATGCATCATCGTCTATCAACATACTATACTTCAAGCTGATGCCAAGATTATGTGGTGCGATGAATGATTGAAGTTGTTTTTTTTTTATCGCCATACTTGTTAGGTTTCTTATACAGAAGAAAAAAACGCTTTGTTTAATATTTTCGCTGTTGTCTTTGTTGTAATAAGTTTATAGGTTGATATTTTTAAATGTAAATAGTAAAGGGTTGATTTTGGAGAATAAATACATCTATTATTAGGCTTAATGTGATTTACTTGTTGAAAAGGAGATGGCGATGATTAATATAATCTTAACAATACTTATCAAAACGACATATTTTTTTCTTATTCAGAAGAAAGCATTCATCCATATTGAAGAATCATTGGCTGTTTTCTAGTCAATACAGATCTGCTCGATTAGTTTTGATAACTATATCTCGGATACTTGAAGATCAATTCAATAATTTGTTGATTATTTTCAAAAGATGAAAAGATTCAATGGATTTTCTTTATTTTAATAAACACAATAAAAACAAAAAAAAAGAATAGGAATAGGATATATAGCTATATTTGTGTACTAAATGTTTTATTTATTTTTTCATTGGATACATAAAAATGGATAATTAAAAAAAAAGTTTATTTGTAATACGAATCGTCTTGCTCATAAATATTCATTTGTTTAAGACTAAATTAAAAGAAAATAAATAATAAAGAAAATAAAAGTGCAACAAAGAAAGAATAACATACAATGTGACATTCTAACTATTAAAAAGACAAACTTACTCGAAAAAATCAATTATCGTCGATGAATCTGTTTTCATCCATATAGCCACAGTAGGAACACTCATTTTGAATAAGTACCTATCTAATCAATAATGATGTTTCTTAGATACGCAATGAACGAGGCTTTCTACGCTTAATGGCAACAATGTTTTCATACGGCTTTCTCGGTAATATTATTCAACAATCCGATAATGGGCAACTTTTTGGTCTATTACACTATGATTTGTCAAGTTTTTTTTTCAATATCTTGGCACCAATTCATACCATATGAAATTGATCATTACTCAATCGCCTGAGAAATGTAGTTTAAAAATTATTGATCAATAATATTGATCGATATTTGTTTAGCAATTCGGTAAAACGACAAGATCGACTCTTTGCAAACGAGATGATCAAAAATCTTCAGACGATTAAATAATCAATAATGCCCAGACGTCTTTATCACGGTAGATCAAACGTGCGGATCAATATAGAACAATCAATTGTCACAATATGTTTCGTCGTTGCGAAAAAAGCAAATACAGAATGTCTTCATTTTTTCACATAGATATGATTGCTTGAAAATGAATTATTTTCCTCATGTATCAATTTGCTTGATGAATGAGATTTTTTTCTTTTTCGAGAATTTTTTACTTTCATTTATAGTTTACTTTTCAGATTTAGTGAGAATTAGGATGTTGAAGGAACAGTTTTTCTTCATATTTCAAGTGATAGATCATTCGATGTTGTTCTAGTGAAAAGTTCATGGAATTTGGATTCTTTTTGATTTCTTCATCATGTAACCTAGGATAGTCGAACAATTGATGACTTGTCAAATGTTGAATGTTATCGTGCTACTGAAGTTATTATTCATCCAATTATTAATCGACGAAATAGATTAGGTAATTGGGTATGTGATAGAAACTTGATTACTAGCAATGAAGTCAAAATTCGTGCTCATTCTCAAGTTCTTAATTTATTTGCATAGAATATTTGTCTTGATCAAATCAAGAAAATAAATAAAGAAGTATCCAAGTGATCATTTGTTTTCAATGTTACTAATCAAAACATATATCTGAATACTAATGAAAGAAAATTTTTTTTTTTGTTCTAAAGAATGAATGTATATACTAATTGTCATTTAAGAACATGAATTCGACATTTTCTGCTTTAATCATATTCGAACAATAAACGAACCTATTTATTGATTAACTTGAAAGATTAATATTGATTCGTCCATGACTGTTGAAAATTGATCGGATAGATAACAGTCGAAGAGTAATTCATAATGATGGAGGCAAAAGAGGTGTCAATTAATCAAATCATTAAAAATATTTCAAAATCTTTCTATCAGTATCGCTAATGGCAAAGGAATACTAGTTCACTTCACAACAGAGATGTCCATCGCGCTGCGGCAGCGGCAGGTTTTTTTTATAGATTAGCGCGGCGCGGCAGATCATTCATAACGGTGCCGCGGCAGTGGCGCGGCAGCGGCTTTTCATTTTTTTAGCCATCGCGGCACGATTTTTTTGCACAAAATTTACTCTATAATTCTAAAAAATTTCCAGCTTCACAACTGAAATTAAACTAGTCTTTCACATAAAGTAGACAAATCAAATTCTTTTTCTGAATGTTGCATTTTACGGTGATTTTAAAGTGCAGAGACAAATAAAAGGTTTAAGCTTATCTAAGTTAATTACGTTGGTACGAGAAATATACTGATTACAATATGAAAGTGTTTATTGTATTGCCTTACGTCTAATAGATATTTTTAATATCATTTTCAGTTCATGCTTTCATTGCTAAAATCTTTTTCCATTCTTTTTCTGTATTAAAAATGGCAATCATGATAAATAGTCGTAGTTAATCTGTTTGTTTTAATGTTACTTTTTTATTTTTTTGCAGATTTAGACCTATCAAACTATCGCAAACTGAAAATGAACAACAAGAGTTTATTAATATCGTGCATATTAATGCATTTTATAATTAATTTTCTTCTTTAAATTAGAATATAGAAAGGCACATGACATGATTCTTTGTAAGTTTTAAATCAATCATTTTCATGTCATACATTTATATGATTATACATATCGTAAATATTTAGATTATTTGCTTAAATGCTAGTAAAATATACTTGTTCTATATATACTTAGAAGTTATTTGTTACTATAGCATCTAAACCGTTATTCCTCATTGATTTCGAGTGAAAACCAGACTGCATGACTATTGTAGACCGACAAATAGCATTTTTTCTTCATATAATGATAGTAGCGGTGCTGTAACCTTTTCTTCAAATATCGCTGCAACAACGGCAATGTTTTTAGTATGTTGAGATGCAGAAGCACCGCGGCAACATGTATTTTATATAATACAGTGGCGCGGCTGCTTTCGATTTCATACCACAGCGGAGCGGCAGCTTTCGATTTCATACCACAGCGGAGCGGCAGTTTTCGATTTTATACCACATCGGAGCGGCAGTTTTCGATTTTATACCACAGCGGCGCGGCAGCTTACACTTTTTATATCATCGCGGCAGGTTTTCAGCCGCGATGGACATCTCTGCTTCACAATCAAGATGATCAAAACCTATTTCTACAAACATCTAATTGAATAATCATAACCAATACATGGATTTTTAATACAATATAATATACGTAGAGCAACAAGAAATTTAATTGAAAAATCAACTATTGATTTTTATATAATGAATTTTTATATAATAAAATTTTATTCAATTTTGTTTTTAGCTATGACATTAGAAGTAACAAGGCAAGCTGCAACAAAAGAAAAAGAAATTAGAAAAAATTTTAATAATAATAATAAACATAAATATAATAATTGTTTTGTTGAATTTTCGACCATGTTAGAGGCCATCTTCGGAACCTGATGTTTCATTGAAAATTGTTGTTGTACGATGTTGTATGGCAAGAAAGATAAAAATGATAATATATTAAATATGTTCACTATGACCATGACCAATTGCATCAGTTGTAACACATGTAACACCCATAACATCAATAACACATATACCATCAGTAACACCTATACACCTACAGGATGATCAATAGGACTACTATCAGATTTTAATATAACATTAAATGGATTTTATCTCTAAATAGAGAAAGATGGAGTACCATGTATATAAGGGTGGGTGTGTGTGTGGGGGGTGTGGGTCCGGTTGAAGAGTGCACTAGCACCCACACCAACACCCCACCCACCCACTCACACCCTTGATTGCTGCGTATAATGTACCAATCAGTGTAAGGGTGTGGCTAAACTGAAGAAGGACCTTCTTGTGCTCGTTTAATAGTCTTCAAAGAAAAAGAAATCCATAGAAAATGAAAAATATAATACCAATTACTTTACATCCTCATCGATGTCGACTATATTCATTATATGAAGAACATTATAAGAAAAATATTTTTCTATAACACGACGAATAATATCTGATGTGATATAGAATCTTAAAAGAAAAGATAAGATAATGTACAAAAAAGAAATTCTAATAGTATTGTTACCGAGCATGACCAATATTACTTGTATGATCAATATTTTTTTGGCAATTGTACAATCGAACAATATTGTCTTTTTTTGGTATAAATATTTTCTAAAACAACAATTAAATAATTTTAATGAAGTTGATATTATTTTAATTACTGTCGTGCTAATTGAATCATCATACAAACAAAATGGTGAATACTTGAGTATATCACCATAATTTTCGAATGTATGCGTATGATATATTATTGTAAATAAAAATTTTGATTTTTATCCAGAAAAGCAAGAGCAGACTAAAAAAGATAATACCCATGTCGCCACTTTTTTAACAACTGCGTCGCAGTTACGCGTAGAGCCAATTCTGCGTCGCAGTTGCGCGTAAGGGTGTGGGTGTGGGGTGTGGGTGAATGGAAAGCTTTGACCCACACCCTCACACCCATCCCACCCACCCACACCCCACATCCACACCCACCCGCACTCACACACACCCACACCCACACCCACACCCTGATGTGGGTGCGGGTGGGCGTGAAGTGTGGGTTCATCTTCTCTTTAACCAAACCCACACCCTATAAATGTTTGTTTCTTTAATTAATTGTTGAATTATATTCATCACATCTACCGTGTTAATATTTTTTTTAATGTTTTATGCATTTTTTCATTACTTTTTTCAATTAAATCATTTAAATGTGTATCATGTTCGTTCAGGTCGTTTTTATTTGAATCAATATTTAATGTTGATGATTCTAAATGAATTTTTAGCTCATTAAAATACTTCACAAGCATTTGGTCGTAATTCATGGCGAGTTCCATGGTATTTTCATTAATCTATACGAGACCATCATGGATTTAATAAACAAAATAAACGTGTATGTTTTGGACTGTATTTGGTACACGCTTCTTCAATTGTAATCGAATTATTAAATAACGTTGAGATTTTTTCCCATTTATTGTTAAACCACACATAATTAAAACATGCTTAATTTCCGAATCTTCGTTATGAAAACATTGAGCTTGACGAATTTCATCATATTGAAGTGAAAATTAATCATCAGAACTACTTATATGAATATCAATGCTCGATTCTAAAGCGAAAAGCAAAAAATACGTTTTATTAAGATAACAAATTGGATCGAATGTGCAGTTAAAAGTTGAAAGGAAAAAGATCGAAAATGAAAATGTCGAAACTAAAAATGACGAAGCTTTATTGTCGAAAAAAAACATGACAAAAAAAAATTTGAAAGCAACAGCATCAAAATGTTGTCAAACTAAAGTGTAGTGTAGGTATCAGATATGGACGAGTTGGTTGAAAATCTACCTCACCTGGTATCACCTAGGATTTTATAAAAAAACAGACGTTTTCTTATATATGTTTTAGTCTCATTTAAAAATTACCATTTCTTTTATTTTATAAGAGTACATCGAAGTATCCCGAGCGATAAAAATACTTCAATCTTAAGAAGTTTTCATTCTTAGTTAGCAAACCTCCAGAATTTTTTCTCTTTCTTTGCTCATAGATTTTCAAAAAATTGCTCGATCGTCCCGAAATTTGGTCAATTTTATCAGAACTTTTCTTATCGATCTCGTAGTTTATAGATACAGTGCACTTCCCTAATTCTGTCGGAAGAATTTTGGCTTTTTATGTTTCAAGTAGAACGAGACTATTTTCGCATCCGATCAAAGATACTTTTATATGTATGAAATCTCTGGATTTTCCTCTTTCAAATGATATATTGTTTCTCTTTCATTTTTCATGCTTTATATCTTCGTTTAATAGGGCATAACAAAAGTACAGGTGGCTGTTGGAAGATAAATTATATGTTTTTGGTTTTATTATTTTCTGGTATATATGTTTTCGCAAATCGAGTCAAACAAATGACATAACCAAAGCAAAAAATATCTCATAAATACTGGACGGAATTGTGAAGAAAAACTAATTTAGTTCGCGGTGAGGCAGGGAGCAAAGAGTTGTCCCAGTTTCGGTCTCTGGAAGCGTTCTCTTCCAGCGTATATGTAGCTTTTTCAAAAATGACCAGATTTTCAAAGGCTTATCATATAAAACGTTGAGTCTACTACTGTATATTTGGAGGAATTTTCGTGATTTTTAAAGTTTTTCAGTTTCAGAAAAACTGCATTGCCACTTGCATTATCATTGAATAGAACATATTAATATTAACCAGCATGTCAGATGGCGTCAGCTACCTCCATCTATTACCTACTCTAAAATGATCCACTGGAATATATTAAAAATATACCATTGTAATATAATTTGTTCTGGGTTTGAATGAAAAAATCCATTTCTAAAACTTCTTTAGCATTTTTCTCAAAACATGGTTTCTACACAGGAAAATTGAAATAACTTCCCCTCGGTTTAAAGTATCACCGATGTTTTTTTCTTTGTTTTAAAGGTCTTTATCAGAGCTAACTTTTCATCGGATGGATTTTCAATACTAGGTTCCAGGGCTGAGAAACGTGGAATTTACTGTTGTGGAGCGACATTTTTTTATGCTTATTTTGTACATCATGTCCACAAAAATGGTTATAACAATGAATGGAAGGGAATTGCAAAATTCTGCCCAATGAAAAGTTGCGTATAGAGGCTAATTTTAATTTGAAATCAGTCCGAGCTCTGTACTCCTTCTAATGACGGAGTTATTTCGATTCTTCTGGAAAGTAGGAGACCAAGCCAAAAGTTCGATCTACTCAGACGTATCAGACTGAAATTTTTTACCGCAAGCGTTTTTCACTAGGATCAATCATTTCTGAAGGAGTCTTTAAGCCATTCATAGACATAGACAATAAGAAATCTTTTATTTCACTATTTTACGATAAATACAAAGTAAATATTTATTAAATTATTATATCACAGAAAGACATAAGTGAGTTTTATAAAAACAATATTTTATATAATATTGTATTACATCCATCCAACTGGATAACCTCTTGATAAATTTTCCATTTTTAACCAATTATATAATGGTTGAAAAAAATCTAATATAGCTTGTGATTCTAATTTATTTTCTCCTGTGAAATTTTCTAAAATTTCTGACCATGATTTTGAATTTCCCATACCTAACATTTCTTTAAATTTTTCTCCAACATATTTATTAC